TTTAATATAGAAAATATGGAACATCTACGAAAAATTAACATACCAAATCATCTGTAATTAGTTACCTATGATTATGATGTTGAGGTTTTCGTCTCTCAGCAGTGGCTGAAGTTAAGATCCACTCCCTGACCCAGAAAGAAAGCATCCCCCCCCATATGTCTGTGATGACAGCTACATGTCAACTTAGATGTGTTTCTGAAGGACACGTGAAAATATTGCCCAAAACAAGCATTGGAGTGTTCTTTCATGGTGTGGCCTCCAGGGGCAGAAGGAGCAGTCCTGCCTTGCTGCGAGCACAGGGATGGAGATCAAATGTGATGATATGGTCGGAGGAGGATTGGACACAATATCCAGACCACGCTTCCATCCGCTCCTCCCTTCTTCTTCAGTAAACAAGCAGTTTTTACTTAACAGCAACTTCACAGGCAAACAGGAGAGCCCACATGGTGATTCGGGGGACGGATGCTTTGCCAGAAGGCCTTTAAAGGACCCTCTCTCAGTTATGTCTCTTGACCAGCTACACTCCAAATGCCTGAGAGGCACAAGAAGTTCATAAGGATGCCGTTTGTGTCTGTTTGTCACAGTTCTCATCTGACAGGGCTGTAAAGCCAGCAACGTTTACTGCTGCAACTGCCTGTCAGGTAGTCCTTCTGTGGATTTTCTGCATCGACGGACATGTGGACGCTTGGCGTGCTACAGAAGCAGGAGAGTGAAGGCGAGGAGGCCCTTTTGGCTGGCTGGGCTGGCAGGGGGACAGAAGCCCCGGTAGGAGAGAGGACGGCTGCCCCGGACCACGGCGTCCCAGGGCCAAACACTGCGGCGCCTACTCTGGAGGCGGTCGTAGGCTGTGCAGCTTTCTCTCGTCCAGGCCTTTCCAGTACTTGAAGTTGTTGTCCAAGTGCTGCATAAGATTGGGGAGGTCTGCAAAAGCTGAGGAGAAGATATAAGGAGTTGAAGCTCAATATGAGATTTGTCACTTGTTTTTACCTCTACATTCCCTCTAGAAAAAATGGATAAAATAAAAACTAATGATCATTATTGCACTGTAGGTGTCTGTACTGTGCAGTCTTACCGTCCCATGCATCAAACATGTCCGTAATGAAGTAGTCTATGAAGGAAATCTGGGACTTCGGGATGCTACAGGTGTTTCGGTCAAACACTGGCATAACCACTGGTAAACCTTGTCTCTTCTCTTCGTCCGTCTGTACCAGAGATGAAGGCACGAGTGATCATCACTCACAATAATACATGAAAGAATAAATGACAAAGAAAGAAGGTGGAGCTGCTTGATCTTTCTCCTCTCACCACAAGCAACTATATTTTTTTCTCCGTACCTGTGCAAAATATTCCTCTGAGATGCGTCCAGCCCACTCTATACACAGCTCCTGAGGCCTGCATGGATTGGAGATGTCTGCACACTTAATCAGCATCCGCTTGACAAGGATGCGATTCTCAGGGGACGTCAGAACGCCTTTGACAGATTCCTCATCACTGTTTCCCTAAAACAAAAGAGAAGTAAGTTCTGCTTATTAGTGACAGCTCTTTATCGCAAACAGCAGCTGAATAGGTTAAAAATGAGCTCAGTGTGTCTGTGCATGAACCAAAATGGGAAAATAAAGTTTGCCACTGGAATCAGATAATGTCTTAGTTCTCTTAATGTAAAAGGAGAGCCTGTATTCAGTGTGTGATAGATATTAGTTACACATGCGAGTGGAGCATGCTTCATGCAGTCACATGATTGCAGGCTTCTGTATGTTTCAAGGTCAAATTCACCATCAATTACGTTAAACAGAAGTGCATGGTACGTTGGAGTACGAGAGCCACTTTTAGACTACAAACAATAGATTTCAAGAATAAGGTCATAATTTTGCATGCGTTGAAAATAGGAATGTGGAGCATCTTGTTAAGTTAAACTTTA